TCCAACTCCTGGCATTCTGTGATTCTGTGACTTTGTGAAAAGAGGGACAGACGAGCGAAAAGGTGAAGAGCACGGTGGTCAAGCCACGCTATCAGAGGTGGGCACATCTGCAGGTAAAGGACAAGCAGAAAATGCATCCAATAAATTCTCATATTTGACCCATGAAAGACGTTCACATCATCAGCTCTGCCGTGCAGATTTGCCACCCCTGCCTCAGCCCTGCCATTTACTGCTGGAGAAGATGACAGGAACCAAAGTCCCAGGCCAATCCAGCTGTTCAAACCCTGTATGTTTGGGTTGGGAAGGAGCTGCTTTCTTCTGGCCTTCAGAGAGGTCACGCTGCCTCCCTGGAGTGCAAATTTCTACAAATCTCTGTCCTAATTTGGCAGCAATGAAGCTCACCCTGTCTTAGTTTACATAAACAATGAAGTCACAGGCTATAAAACCATCTCTCCAAGTATATTAAGGCTTTTTTCTTTTTCTTAAAGGACAAATATTGATGTTTCAAGCCAGATTCAGCTGAGGCAGCCTCTCCAAAAGTCAACAGCACCCTTTTCTGGCTGCCAGCTGAAGCACAGAAGGCAGCGTTGGGCTTTGCAGCGCCCAGCTCAGCAATTAGCAATCAGCCTTCACTAACGAGCGAGTCCTCCCCGTTATCCGAGCCGCCCCTGTGAGCCCGCTCATTGCTGCTCGTGCAGTGACAGCACACACAAACAATGGGGTTTTAAGAAAGTACGGCACTTTTCAGAACGGCAGCAGGACTTGTCCTGGTACTGTGGGTGTTTGCTGGGCAGGGCTCTGATGGAGAGAGGAAGGGCGACCGTTTTCCTCCGTTACCATGGGAGCATTTTATAACAGGAAATTTCAGGTTAGAATGGGAAAAGGGTGAAGCTTTGCATGGATTAACTCTGCCAGCTCCTCTCCCAGCGCGTGTTCCCACAACAGGACACAAAACCAGAACCACAGCGGTGATGCTGTGGGGATGGGAATGATTCATGGGGTTTTAGCAGTGCCGACCTTGCAGCCCACCCCTGCTCACCCCCTGCAAGAGCCGTGGTGTCATCAGGCTCTGGCTGCCCCCTGCCCTCTGCTATGCCCCACTGCTGCCCCTGCTTTCGGGTCCTCTGTGCCCAGCATCTTCACCTGAGGTCATGGATGCAGAGCTGCTCAGTGCTGCTGCGGATACTGCGGCTGCAAGACCCAAAGCCAATTTGTTAGACCTCAAATACACCCCTCAGGCTGCAGACAAAACCTCCCGGTCGGTGCAGCACCACAGAGCATGGAAACTGAGACAGTATTTGCAGGAAGTGCCCACTCCTTCTTCTAAACACTCCAGAAGAGAGATGAAATACAACAGGTAGGAAAATTCCAACCTTAACTTGCACGGATTACAGTGAGCAACGAGGCACAGAGGTGAGGGAAAGACCTGAGCAAGAGCTGTGCCCCATCCTTCCCTGCAGCAGAGGCCAGCAGGGACCATGGGGAGCACAACCCTCCCCGAGCCCCCCATCCCTCACCTCGTTGCTGATGGTCGAGTCCCTGTGCATCATCCTCTGGATGTGGGAATCCAGGCTGGCCCCGGAGGAGCACTTGGCCAGAGCTGCTGCGTGCGACTCCTTCTCCCGCTGCCGGACGATGGCCTCACAGCCCAGCCACTCCGCCATGGTGTGCTCGTAGCAGGTACGGATCTGGTCGTCAGCCTGCAGTGTTTGGGGACAGCAGGACTTTGAATGGATGCCTCTGGAACAGCCCAGACACCAGCGCCTCCTCCCTCTCCCAAACAGCCCTGCACAGACAAGTTTAGTGCATTAATGTGCATTAACTACAGCTGGATCGGACATAAAGTCACCCACCTCCAGCACAGTGACAGCCAGAGCCTGACCCACAAAACCTCACAAAAATTAGGATGGAAACATGACTGCCCTTCTCCTTCCAGAGATGTGCAAGGCACTGAACATCAGCTGCACAGGGGAGCGCTGAGCTTGGTCCTATCGATTCTTGTTTCTCTGAGTCTCTTTCTCCCACCTCCTATCCCCAGCAGCAGCACAACGGGGTCACAACGCCCAGTGGGTTCACGGGGTGGACTCTGGCACATGGATGTTTCCAGCTGTGAAATCTCCAGGGCACACCAGTGAACCCCCCAGGCTGCTGAGCTGGCAGCACACCCGTACCAACCTCTTTCCTTTCTGCCTCCGTCATCCCAAACTGGTAATGGCCCAAAAGGAAGGGCCAGACAGCCTTCCTGATCTCGTGCTGGATCCCGCCGTAGTAGATCAGCCGCAGCAGCTCCTGGTCCTCGTAACTCTGCAGGAAATGCTGAGTCAGCACAGAGATGCAGCCAGGGCAACCCCAGCCTGGCCGTGGCACCTTTCAGCACCGAGTGCTGCCCAGACGCTGACCACCTGCAAAACTCGCTGCCCATTCATTGCAGACGCTCTCTCCGGTCTCTGCTTGGGCTTAAGCACAGCCAGAGGCCCCTGCAGATGGATATTTTGGGGAATGCTGGCTCACCACTGCCAGAAAGGGAGCACTGGCAGCACGTCAGGACTGTGGTCACAGCTCTCTGGCTATCCTGCCCTAACAGCATGATGGGACCCCCTCAAGACCACAGCACTCAGGGTGATGGACATGGCTGTGGGCAAGCAGCACATTAAGGAGAGCAGCCTTCGTGCCCCAGCTTTCACATGTCGAGGATTAGGAGCCCTGGGCTTTGTGCAGCCTGGGGCAGGCTCCCTGACTCCTCTTCTCAATGTGCTTTACTTTACCATGCTAAAACCATGTAAGTGATGCTGCCCTGGACACCCCAAGCCCACCACAACTGGCACATCCCGACAGTACCAGCCCTACCGTGCTGTCCTGCAGGTATCTCTGCCATATGTCCACAGTCAGGCCCGAGCTGGCATTGCAGGGCACGTCAGGAGACACGATGTTGTGGTTAACCAGCGCCGAGAGGTGGGTTCGCACCGTGGAGAGGTGTCTGCAATAGGCCAGCCCTGCACCAGGCAGAAGCAAACATTCAGCCAGGGAACTCAGGGAGCCATGAAGATGAAATGCAGGAGAAAGCTCTGAAGAATCTGACCCCTGAAGGAGACCCTCTGAAGTATGGAGGTCCCATACCCAGCCTAAGCAGCAAAGCAAGGAGTCTACTGGGACAGCTCAGCACCTCATCGTCCTGCACCACCATGGGCACACATCTCTTAGAGACGTGGTTTAGCGATGGACAGGTTATGGCTGGGCTCAATGATCTTAAAGGTCTTTTCCACCCAAACGATTCTATGATCTCACGGATGTGGCAAGTACTCACAGCCATAGAAGGCCCGGGAGAGGATCTGGTACTTCATGTTGTCACACAGCAGCTTCAGCGGAGCTCTGCCAATAGAACATATCACATGTGAGGAGAGGAAATGTTCCCATGCGTGCCCTCAGTCCCTGCTTTCATCCGACTGTTCCAGCTTTGTCTTCAGAGATGCACCAAGGGGCCTCTGCTCAGCCTGGGAGCAGCAATTCTTGCTGCCAGGATAGAGCAGCTGAGATGTCCCAGACAAGGAGACTGGCATCACTTCAGCCTGGACACGTCCCACTGGTCCATGGACAAGTGAGCTGTGAGGAGACACCACCTGCAGCATAACTGCTCCAGCTCAGCCATCCAGCCGTGCTTTTGCCTGCAACCCTTGTTTTATTTCACCTGTGTTTCCCAAAGCAAGCAGCAGAGCTGTCCTACCTCTCGTGGCTGCAGCCATTGGACGGCCCACCGTCAGAGGAGCCGCTCTGAGAGCAGGAGGAGCACGAGGACTTGCGGGTGCTGGGTTGCCACATGGGAGGAAGGCCAGCGCCCGGCGCGTCCATCAGGTCCTGGGGCACTGCGAGAGGGCAGAGAGAGGAGCCTCAGCTGCTGCCTGGCGCTGTCCCAAAGTCAGGAGGGACACGGGAGGTCAGCAGAGAGGGGAGGTTTGATTTGTAAATGCAGCATCCCGCACTCCTCCCAAGGAGGCTCAGCAACCGGGTAGGACCCACACCAGTAATCACAGCGCCAGCGCTGAAGAGCTCGAGAGAAAGGGAAGGAAACAAAGAGCATTGATGAGAGGGAACCGTCTGCTAATTAACTGCAGCGCCTTCAGCGAGCTAATCACGCTGCTGAGTGCCAACCAAGGCAGAAAACACACACCCAACCAGAGAGGCTCAGACGAGAGGCTGCAATAGATGGTCACACCGGTGAGGAAAACCAAGACTGAAATCAACCGCTGCCCCCAGAAGAGTGGATCAGTGGAAGGGAAAAGCCCCCATCTCTCAAACACCAGGATCCCATCCAAGATTCAGGGAAAGACAGGAGCATCCACATCACAAGGCAGGAGATAACTTGAATGAAGAGGCTGAAAGGGACAGCAGGAGCAAGTAGCTTCTTCATGTTGTCACTTGCTCAATCCCTGCCTGGAACAGGCCATTACGATGAAGGTGAATTTTGGGATGTGACAAAGATTAATGAAGAATAATCCTATTTGCTCCTCCTTGGAATTTAAATGGAAATTAATCCCAGCTTCCAGCTGGGAAAGGGCTTCCTCACTCACCCTTGGCCTCTCCCTGCTCGTGATGCTGAATAACTCATACTAGCAAGAGAAGTGTTGAAATATTCCTACTTCAGCGGGTGCTGATGGCTCAGTGAGGGTCAGCAGTGACAGGGGACACCTCTGCAGGAACTGCCAAGTGACAACACGGACAAGCAGCAGCACTGCACACAAACGACAGCCACATTACACTGATGCCGAGGGGCCCCCAGAGCGGCAAGGGGAGGTCGGGACGTGATGGGGAGACGCAGAAACCGTTTAGGGATCACCACCGTCTTGCTTGCAGCTGGAGTCCTCGCGATCTTCCCCCTCACGGCAGCGATGGAGACCACGGACGCAAAGAATGGATGAAAATTACCATTAATGGTAACTAGAGACACGGAGAGAGGACAAGGGCACAAATGAAAGGTGGGGGGAAGGAAAAAACTGTAGAGAAAAAAGAGCCGATGCAGTCGCACCCCCCTCTGGGAAGGTTCACAGGAACCATGCAGATTTTGATGAGGAGACTGCAGCAATTCATTTCACAGAAATGTGTCCCCCAACATGGAATTTGAAGGGGTAGATCAAAAGGAAGCTACAGAAAGGAGCGTCTCTATCTGCTATTTTAGCCTCAATCAGATTTTCAGCTGACTCACTGGATGGTGTTAGTCAGCTAAAGGCAGGAGAACCAACCATCATCTTAACTGATGCTAGGGAGGAGCCACAGGAGATGCAATTGCCTCCTTCGAGCCTCTAAAACATAGGAACAAGTTTTTGATCAAATTTCATAGCTTTTCCAAAGCATTCCATGAGTCTTTCATTACACTCTCAGTTTTTCCCCTTATAAAGTCATCTACGATGCTCCCAGAGGTCAAATCTTGGTATCCCACAGAAGAGTGAGGACAAGTGTGCAGTCACTTCAGCCCAGCACACTGTTCAGAGCATTCCCAACCAGACATTAGGGAGGATTTCTGGCTTGGTGAACCCAGCAGCATCATGTCCCTTGCTCCGTGAGTGAAGACACACGGGTCACACCTGGCAGCACATAAGGAAGGGAGCTGTAACGTCTCCTTTGCGCTGAAGGAACAGAGCTGGATTTAATGCGGCGCTTTCCAAGCTGGCCTGGTGACAGCAAGAGAAGAATCAGCCCTGGAGGCCTGGGGTGGTGAACACTGACCCCCAAGGAACATGACCGAAGTGAACCTTACTACTGAAGTGATGTGCAAGGGGTTTTTTCCAACCATTAAGGCAGTCGTGGCCTGTTGTGCAGCTGTGGAAATGAAGGACCCAGTGAAAAGTGAAAGGTGTAAATGAAAAGGTAAAGCCCCAGCCCATATGTAATGTGGAATAAAAGGCAGTGCTGTCACAAGCAAAGCCCACCTCTCCAGAACCATGTCCTGGCCCAAACTGCAATGTGTGTCAGGGCTGTGTCCCTGGCTGCTCACACACCCCTGACAACCCACCCGAAGCACCCTCTGCCCCGCGCTCACCGAACTCAGACTGCATCCCCGGGTAGATGATCCTGAAAACGTAATCTGTGGCTTCCTCGTCTTCCTTGTCGGACGCAGACTCGGAGGAGCCCTGGGGACTTCGCTTCCTCAGCTTGGGAAACACCTTTCCCTAGGAGAACAAAACCTGCTCTTCACAAGCCGCCCCATGCCTGGTGGTCGCTGCCTCGCTCGCCAGACTCCTGCCTAACAAGAGCTTCAGCAGTCAGGATGATGTTTGCATGTTCCCTGGGCTGGAGCAGACTTTGGGATTAAGCCTTTAAACCAAACTGCCGTATTTCATACCCACCTTCCTTCTTGGCTTTGGAAGAGCATTGTTTAAAATGAAACAGCCACTAACACCGGGCAGAGGGTCCTCCCCATCAGCTCTGCTCTGAGACACCCCACCAGGAAACAGCAGCAAGAACCCACGGCACCATAGACTCAGGAACAAGCCCAGTTTTGGGGTGCCTACCTTTCCCCGCTGTGACCAGAGGGGTGGGTCCAGCTGCCCGTGGGGCAGGAGGCCGTTCTCCAGGCAGGACAGGAACTGCAGCAAGTGCCCTCCTCTGGGGAAGCGCAGCGGAGGCCTCTGGATCCCATCCTGGCTCACCAAGACAACCGTCCCACCGCTGTCTACTATTAACAGCAGCGACAGCAGAGAGAAGGCACACGCATGAATGAGGGAAACATTACTGGTAAAAAAAATGCAGAGGACAGGCAAGAAAGCTCAGGGCATTGTCTTTCTGGTGTGCAAAACAACAAATTTCTTCCTTGTTTGGATTCTTCCCCAAGTCCATTACAAGCCTGGGGCCCTGGAGAAGGGTGGCCTGAGAGATGGCACCCTTGAAAACCACAGAGCACTGCTCTGCAGGGAGCGCTCCCCAGCCAACACTGCAGCCAGGAGCTGCTTTAAAGGTCTTCCTAGAAGCACTTCTATAGCAGTGACGTGCCAGAGTTGCCCTGGAGCTGAATCAAGACATCCCCATATGGGCACTCCTGAATTTAATGAAGCACATGTCAGGGTAATAACAGCCCCCAGCAGCCCCCCACTCTGCCCTTACCTTGCTGGTGACAGTGCAAGTAGACGATCTCCTCCAGGCGAATGGTCATGGCATAGTCCCAGTACACGCTGGAACACAGAAAGAGAGCAAGTCCTGAGCTTCAGGGATGCAAGAGGCTCTGCTGCTGCTCACATCAGCTCCAGATCCTGTCTCCAGCTGTCCTAACGCCAGGGGAAGCCACAGAAAGGACCAGGTCCCAGCAGCAGCACAGCTGTCACAAAACCAGCCTGAGCCAGTGACAATATCGCCCCAGAACCAGTCACTGTCCCTGCCCTACAGCTCAACCTGGGCAAGGCCAGTGCCAATTGTCCCAGGCTGTTTCTCTAAACTTGTGCCATGGACAACGTGTCCATGGATCCTGGCAGCTGCAGGGAAGGTGTGGAGCCCTGCAGAGTTGAGCCCTCTCCTCTGGGCACCCCAGAAAGGATTCCCTCTCGTTGGGAGAGCCCCGGGAAGGTGGCAGGAGCAGCCCTGCAGCACCGAGGAAATCTGCAGCGCAGTCCAAGCCTGGGCTGCTGCTCTGCTGAACTCCTGTCCCACGGGACTCTTCACAGAAATAGTGCTTAAAATCAAGGCTTACAAAGGCATTTAAGGATGGCAAGGGGTGCGTAAGAGTCGTTCCTTGTAGATTCATACTCACTTTGTCAACTGACTCCTCTCTTCCTTGGTCACGTCTTGACACTGGGAAGTTTTAGAGCTCAGGCTGATGCCCAAGTTGAGAACTCAGAAAAGTAGTGTAGAGATGAAAATAGCATTTTAGGGGGAGGGTACCAGGCATAACGGAATGGCCCAGGGGCCAAGAAGAAAGGGGAGATGAAAAGAACACAGGTAAACAAACCCAGAAAACTACAATTGAGAATAAACAAAACTGAGGAACATTTTCCTGAAGATGACGTTTACCCCAGGTCAAAGCATCAGCATCCTAAATATTCCAGCTTTCCTGGAGCGTTTGCTGATGCAAAAGGATTTTGTTTGCCTTGTTTTGAAAAATTGGGACCTGACATCATTCTGTCTGTGTTAAAGGAGGACTGCAGCTCTCAAGAGAAATGACAGCAGCCCATAAGGCAATCCCAGGCAAAACGGCACAGTAATACGCCCTGCCTGGCAAAGTAAGCAGACCTGGAAGAACAAGCTCACAGCCCACCTCAGGCCACCTTCCCTGTCCCTTCCCCTCTCACAGGACTGTGCTCTGCAGTCAGTGGGAAAATTCACTGGTGGTTTTGAACACCAGATCCATGCTCTGAACCCAGGGAACATTTGCCTGTCCCCTCTGCCCCGTGTTAAGGCGCACTCGGAGCCAGTCACCTCTTCTCGTAGTCCAGGTCCCCCACGGAGCCGTTCATCAGCTGGTTGGGTGTCCACTTCAGGGCCATGATGTCGGCCGTCTGGTGGAGGGACAGATATCCTGGGATCGCCTCCATGTCATCCCGCTGGGGAAGAGAAAGGCAGGGAGACAGTGAGCAGCTTGGAGGACACCAGAAGCGTGAAGAACCACCTCAGGCCACCCAAGGATGAGCCATGTCCTGGACCATACCACAGCCCTGCCTGCTGCCCCTGAACCCATCCACTCACCAACGGCCAGAAACCCTGCAAAACCTCCCAGCAGAGATAACAGAACACCTCACCAGCCTGGAAAAGGGCTGAGAGAAGTGTCCAGCTCAGGCAAACTCTGCAGCTCCACCTACGCAGTTTGCACTTCATTTATGTGACTGCAATAAGCAGAAAGGGACAGTTCAAGGAGTTTTGTGGCCTCTGGTCAAGAGAAGGGAGAGGAGCCTGCTTCCAACTCAGGCAGTAGCATTTTCCATTCGACTGGGAGGATCCGTATCACTTAGACCTCAACAAATGCAGTCCAGTCACTGCCTTCTCGGATTCAAAATGAGCCTGTGCCCTTCTCCATCAAGAGCAACCTGGGGCAGAATTACGCAGTGACGAGCAGCAGGTACTCACTGGCTGCACCAGGACGTTGTTCTTGCCATACAGGAGCGTGGCTCGGGAATTCTGGTGCAGCGACTCCACGTAGTCCCTGGCAGACAGCGACGGTCGGTCATCCATGCTGCCACTCGAATGCCTCTTCTGAATCTGGAAGAGATTCACCTACAAACATGAGGTGAGCACAGGCACCTCTTGCTTTCTGAAAGCTTCTCCTGAACGATCATTCCCTCCTCACTTAGAGTCACTACCAGAAATCTTTCCCTTTGTGTCCCCTAAGAGGATTGCTGGCTCTGGCCAAGCTCAATTCCGTACTTAGAGAAACCCCAGGAACATGCTTTGTTTGCAATAAACAGAGCAGATTCCAGTTGCCTTTGCTTTTGGTTCACACGTGCTGTTCCCAAAGGGCAGAGACCCCATGATGCAGTGCTGCGTTGGGCCAGCAAACCTGCAGTCTCCGTAGCCCATGTTCCCAGCATCTCTAGCTTAAAGACTTCAAGCAACTGTGCTTTTCTACCTCCTCTCATCAGAGGGCTTCACAGCCCTCTTCTCCAGCAGCTGGAGCCCAGGAGGAGCACTGCAAGGAGCCGTCCCTCCCTGACTCACGCAGAGTGCCGGGCGTTTGGTGGGTGAGTCCTGGCGGCAGTGGGAGCTGTGGATGCGGTGCCTCTGCACCAGCTCGTCAGCCGAGGGGTCCGTCCAGAAGTGGTCAGCAGTCTTCATCTTCGTGTACTCCAGCGCACAGGGCCCCACTGCGCAGAGAGGAAAATCACAGACATAAGGAAGTTGTTCTGATGGCTGTGGTCACCTCTCAGGTCCCTGGACCCAGCATCTCAGAGCAGGGGCAGTGGGACACCATGTGGTCTTTATAAGCACTCCACGGGACTACCAGTACAGGGCTATTAAGCTTTCTGAAGTTCTTAGCAGAAAACGATTGCATTTCACATCCCAGGGCAAAGGAGTGGGAACAGAGGTTTGGAAAGCAAGCTGTCAAAGTAGGGTAAGAGGAAAGTGTTACCCAATAAAGATGCAAGGATTGGCCCGTCCACAGGATCCATCAGGAGAGCTTCTTTTTCATAGTACTTACTGGAAGAAATAAAAGAGAGCAGAATGCTGTAGCATTTCAGCCCCCTGGGAATGCAAAACAACAAAGACAGTGGTTTTAAATCAAGGACACCTCCACGGCACAGGACACCACAGCATGCCGTTTCCAGAAGATGAGGACAAGGACAATGTGCCCCATCTTTATTTTAGGAAGTGTATGGTGGCCACCAGCAAAAGGAAATCAACCAGAGAACCCGCGATGGGCACTCAACTGGGCTGTCCCATGCAGGGACTTCTCTGGCCCAGCCAGCAACACCTCCAGCACCACTGGAAGGGGCCGACACTGGTCATGAGTTGGGAGGGACAAATGCGTGGCCTGTGCCATCGCTCACCTGCTGTTTTCTACCAGGTAATGCACGATTTTATCCAAGACCTTTTCGAAGAGGGCTGTGCGGATCCAGAGGTGCTTGATGGCTTGAGGAGACAGGTTGGGCAGCTTCGGCATCTTGCGCACATTCTCCGGGATGCCCTGGACCTGATTTCGTCTTTAGACGTACAAGGCAAAAGACAACAACATCAGTGAGCACTGCAGGAGCCCGGGGCACTCACAGCACCTCATGGGGCACAAGGCTGGGGTTTCAGGGGTGCCGACTGCGGTGGCCCAGTGAATCACATGGGGACAGGGCTCTGGAAACCGGTCCCTTCATCTATTCCACCCTCTACTCCACAAGGCCCACATCTGCATTTGAAAACTGACTCCAGTTTCCCACTGCAAGGGCATCCTAGAACAAGCCTCTGCCTCAGCAGAGTCCTCCAACCCACACGCTTTTACCCCTGGTGCCCCAGGACAGCAGTTCGCAAGCAAAGCTGCTTATCCTAGAACAGCACAGAGATTCCTGCCCCCAGGTAGCAGTGCCATCCATCTCCCTGGTTCCTGTCCAAGGGTGAGTAAGCCACTCTGGAGCAGCAGTTGAATTACTGCAGGTTCAAGCCCTGCACACTGAGGCAGACCAAATGTGGTTCCAGTTGGCTTAGTGCACTGGTCCATAAACCGTGAGGGTTTAGCAGCAAACGTGCTTGGCTGTCCCTGAAGCACAAGACAGGGGACAGAGGAAGCAAGAACTTGGCCATCTCAGCTTAAACCACAACCGCAACTCAGCCTCCTGGAAAAGCAACCACTTCCCTCATGATATGAAAACCCCAAGACAGGACTCAGCTCCATGAAAGAGCAATTCCTCCCGCAGAGGCTCAAGCTGGACATTGTGATCCACAGCCATACCCAACCCACACACCCGCACCAAAACACGAGCAGCCTGTGGGATAACAGCAACGCCGGTGTCTTACGCGTTCTCAATGAGCTGCTCCAGGTCCTGCACCTTCTTGCAAAGCTCCTCAGCCAGAGGAAAGCTCTTGCCCACCTTCATGAACAGAGCTGCGATCTTGTTGCTGCGCAGGAATCCCGCCGCCCTCCTCTTCAAGCCGTACAAGACGCAGGCCTCCACCGCAGCTGCAACAGAGCAAAGTGGTTATTGAAGCAGCAGGAGAACTCAGCTCCCATCACAGCAACCCAGCTCCTGCTGCAGCCATGGCCTGACTCCGCAGCAGAAACATTTCCCAAGAGGAAACCAGTGCCACGTGCTATTCCTGCCTGAGCAGACAGGGGATTGGGGAAACCAGATGGCACTCGATGTGAAGCAACAGACAGCAGTACGGCTCTTCTGCCTGCAGTCATCAGTTCTGCTGGCTATACAGAGGAACGATTCTAGTTTTGCAAAACAGAAAAGTTGAGGTTGGTGATGTCTATGAGATGTTCAGCGCACCTGAACCAAACTGCTAGCTTGATGGAGGCAAACTCAAACTGTGGGTGTGCCAAGATGCAAGTACTTCAAAGCACAGTTAACTTGTACCTCATAAGTAGATCCAAGGTCTCCTTGAAATCACCCGAGGCACCAGTCAGGCAGAATAACTATCTTGGATTCACTGATCTGACCAACCAACAGCCTAAAGAGATCTTCCTAGACTGGCAATGAAATGGGGATGTGCAAGACCCCTGTGCCACCATCAGCGAGCAGCCTGTGCCGACGTGCCAAGCTCACAGCCTGGATTGGGATTTCTCAGAGCACTTTGTTCATTCTTAAAACAGAGCGGGAGAAAGGACTCGGACCACTGTGCTCGCAGCCCTTCGTTGTGAAAACACCAGGATCTGCTCTGCTACACAATACCCCAAATGCACAGAATCCCAGACCGTTAGGGATTGGAAGGGACCTCCAAAGCTCATCCAGTCCAATCCCCCTGCCGGAGCAGGAACACCCAGATGAGGTTACACAGGAAGGCGTCCAGGCGGGTTTTGAATGTCTGCAGAGAAGGAGACTCCACAACCTCTCTGGGCAGCCTGGGCCAGGGCTCTGTCACCCTCACTGAGAAGAAGTTTCTTCTCCAATTGAAGTGGAACCTCCTGTGTTCCAGTTTGTGTCCATTACCCCTTGTCCTATCATTGTTTGTCACCGAGAAGAGCCTGGCTCCATCCTCGTGACACTCACCCTTTAAATATTTATAACCATGAATGAGGTCTCCCCTCAGTCTCCTCTTCTGTAAACTAAAGAGCCCCAGCTCCCTCAGCCGCTCCTCAGAAGGGAGATGCTCCACTCCCTTGATCATCTTTGTAGCCCTACGCTGGACTCTCTCCAGCAGTTCCTGTCCTTCTTGAACTGAGGGCCCAGAACTGGACACAATATTCCAGATGCGGTCTCACCAGGGCAGAGCAGAGGGGGAGGAGAACCTCTCTGCCCTACAACCACCCCTCTCCTGATACACCTCAGGATGGCATTGGCCTTCTTGGCCACAAGGGCACAGTGCTGGCTCATGGTCATCCTGCTGGCCACCAGGACCCCCAGGTCCCTTTCCCCTACGCTGCTCATTCAAATGCAAATGAATCGATGCAAACGCTGGGAAATCTAAACGTGCAGAGAGAGGTCCCATCCTGCATCCAGATCTGCTCCGGCATGATCGCCGTGACCAGAGCAGTGATTTTCCCAGCAGAGGAGTGACGGGCTCGTGGCGTGGCAGTAATGGCACCGATCAAGAGCTGCCAAGAGCCTGCTCGCACAGAGTCACTCAGGTTAAGCCTGTGGGAGCAAACAGTTTATCTGCGGTTTAACAGCTTGAAGCTAAGCGTGGCCGTACACCGCACAGCGATGCATCTGGCAGAGCTCCCCTGATTAAATGGGTCTGAAAGCATTTCAGGTGAGCAGTTTGTCCATGGGGCCAGCCTGGGACAGAGAGCAGGATTTGCAGTGTCACTGGGGAGGGCACTGCCAACAGCAACCAGACTTGGGTGTCCCTGCAAGCTCAGCGCACAAGTCCCCCCTCCTCTCCAGTGTGCTCATCACTCCAGCCACCACCATTAATCAGTGGGATAGATGGAAGGACGGGATGTAAAGCTCCTCAGACAACGTATTTTAAGGCAGGGAACATCCTTCAGTAAAACATCCTCATCAGACATGCTGCAACCAACAAGCAAGTGCGCTACATCTTCTCCAGGTAGGATGGTTGCTTTGCTCTGCAGACAAACAGGCCGATGTTCTCCTCTCAGGTTTCCTGCAGATTACAGAGAAACCAAACAACTCACTGAAGTTTTCCCAGTCTCAGTGACGGATACAGCGGGAACAGGAGTTTTCACTTTGGGCCCCTGTGCTGGGATGTGCTTGGTCCAAGCAAGAAGGAGAAAGCTTGGGAGTGAGAGACAGCCACACTGAGGATTTCTAAAGCAGTAGAAGAAATTGGGCAGCTTTTACACAAAAAAATCAGTGTTCACACAAACATTCTCCTGAAAAACCTAAAGAGAACCTGGGGATAAGCCCCAGCCCATGCCAGCAGCTCAGCCTGGCTTTGGAGCCCCTCCAGGCTCGGTGCTCCCTGCCCGGAGCCGGCGATGACTCCACAGAAAGATGCGCACACGTACAGGCTGTGCCAGCGAATCTGCTCGCCAGAGTCCCCTGGGAGGGCTCGGGATGGATGTCTGGTGTCAAACACAGCAAACAGCCTGATCAAAGCTCTGGAAAACCACACAGACCCACAGCTCTGCAGGATATCGATCCAGCGCTGACAAGAAGCTTTCTGGCACCCATCTTTCCCCAGGAACCTGGTGCTGCTGAGCCTTCCCTGCAGATGCTGGTTCACCTCTCGCTTGGAAAGGCATTTCTTCCTACACCTGAGCAACTCTGTGGAGAGGTTTGAGAAGAGATTTCACGCAGACCCATCAATGTCAGCTCCCAGGGCTGAGATGCGCTCATTTTCTCCGCCCTGCTTCGTGCCATGGTCGAGTTCACCGCCTGGCGGGCAGGGTGAGGGTGCAGCATCCTGGGTGCACGTCCTGTACCAACAGCAGCAAAGCAACACGTTTGGGCCAGCCAGGTCCTGCTCGCCCAAACGCAGCCCTTCAGAGCCACTGGATCAATAACTGGTTTTTAAATGAAGCCCTAAAAGCCTCTCTGTGCCTCACACCTGCCCTCCTGAGCCAGAGAGAAAAGGCACAGGGGCGGGCAGATGCACCCACCTCTGCTGCCCACCAAAATGCCTTGGTAAACCAGGCACCCTCTGCCTCTGCTGCACCCTGAGGCGGAGTCCTGAACCTCTCCAAAACACTACTCCTGCCAGCAAAACTACACACAAATGTGAAGTTTTCATAAGAAAAACTCCCCCAGTGCTCTCCCAATGGCTCAGAGGCTTCAGCACATGAAGTAAGAGCACCTTGTCTGCAATAAATGCAGGGGTAACGGCAGTTTCTTTTTTAACCGTGTGATTTTATGAGCGCAGTTCATAACTTACTGTCCCTGCTGCAAACAGACACCGTGAAGAGACTCTCCCCGTCGCTTAAGGATATCATTTACAGCACAGACGCGCAGTGCAGGGGCTCTGTGCAGCTGCACCGAGGTAAGGAGGGAGCTTTGATACACGGCAAAAAGACTATTTTTGAGATCCTGAAAGTCTCTGACCCGGCACAGCTCAAACCACACAGGGGCTGAGCACGAAGGCTCGGTCTCAGCACTGATGTGGACCATAAACCCCTTGCTCACGCAGCCCCCAGCCCTGCCGTCAGCTCTCCATCAGCCTCCCAGGGCAGCGTGAACGTGACAGATGCCAACTCGCATTTGTCCACTTCAAGCCCATCCCTCACAGGCAAAACAGGGCAGCGGCCCTTTCCTGCCAGACCACTGGTTTCACCAGAAGGGGTTTGCGGTACAGTGGCTACGCAGACGATGAGGAGGGCTCTCTCCCCGCAGAAAAGGGCAGCCATGCACAGCCAGAGCCAGGCTTGCAGCACACTCTGCTTGTCGGGGAAAGGGGTTATTTATAAGCTCACCCAGCTCACGGAGAGCCACAGCACCGAGGAAAGTGCACGTACCATTCAAATGAGACAGCAACAGCAGCCAGAGCTGGAGGTGTGGATGCCAGAAGCCCATGAGAGCGCACAGCAGCATCATTAAGAAGGCAGAAGGGAGCACCGAGCCCTTCGTGCCTGAGCTCCGTGGCGCAGGAGGCTATAAATAAGCCCAGGCTGCGAAGCCTCGTGCTGCAGAGAAGAGCAGAGAATGAGTCACACCTCCAAGTCTGCTCTGCTCTTTCGATGCCGTTCAGTCTGCAGCGTACAAAGGCACATAGGCCTGGAACAAACACCTGCGTCGTGTCTTTTATCCGAGGGCCCAGGAGAAAAGGAAAAAGGCAACCTCTTTGTTTTCCAGAGTAGAAAAGGAGACCTCATCGTTCCCTTCTCTTCCCCTTTTGTGCCTGTGACCGTGGATGTTCCAGTCCTATTCAGTAGCGCCAGTGTTGCACGAGCCTTCTCCGAGCAACTTTCTTCAAGAGCTGCTTGTCATCACTTCTGTCATCTTCTTCTTCCCAGCCTCCGAATTAGCGAGCTGCCCTCCAGCCATGTGTAAATCGAGGTGTGCCACTCGTCCTCCGCATGCTGCTGGCAGCGTTTGCTCAGCAGCAGCAGCAGCAGCAGCAGCAGCAGCCCCAGGTGCTGGCAGCGCAGCTGGCGCTAACGCTGCAAACATCTCCACTGGGAGCGATGGGCACGGAGAGCAGAGCGGGCTCAAAGGGGCATGGGTTGTCCCCGCTTACCTGGGAGCCAGGGCTCGTGGTGCAGGAGCAGAGCAGCGTGAGGTCCCCTGGCAGCAGGGCTGAGCCACGGGATGACAGGGGAACTTCTTGCTTTGCCCTTGGAACAAATTAAAGGGCAAGGACCCTGCGAGGGATGGTTTGCCAGCAGCTCTGTGCCCTGCAGACAGCAATAAGGGTTGCTTCTGCCATCCAAGTGCTTCGCAGAGGCAATCACTGGCCTGGGAAGGACCCTGCTCTCAGGGGTTCACTGCAGCAAGAGACTCAGGAGTGCCAAGGATCTGCTACAGGAGCACACAGACACGGTGCAGAGGCCAGGCTCTGCCCAGGGATGCGAGATCAGAGCCAGGAGAAAGGGCAGCACCCACCTCGCAGATGGGACCTCTACCCACGCCAGGGGCACAGGGACGCACACCGCGCTCCCCAAAAGCCCATGTCATGCAGGGACAGATATGCTCCAGGACAAGAGCCTGGGACATCTGCTCCAGGACATCCTGCCCTGGGAGGCAGTGGGAGCTCCGACCACTTCCACCAGGAATAAAGGGCAGGAATTTAATCTTGTAAAATTCAGGGAGGGCAACTCTACTGATTTTGGTGGCTGGAGCTTCATCCCAAATGTGAAAGAGGTGAGACACACACACAAAGCGGGGTGAGCCACTCAGCCCTCAGCAAGCCACCTTCAGCAAAGGTGCCCACCGTGTGGCCAGTGCTGTTGGTGATCATCTGGCTCCAGCTCCATCCCTCCTGCATCCCCAAGAGGCTGCAGAATTTTCTTATCCATGCCCAGGGCTACAACCACTGTGCTCATCCCACAGCCTGAAGCACTTGCCCTGCTACCAACAGACTCATTGGCTTCTGCCTGGGTCTGAAATTTGTCCTTTGAGACCTGGCCTCAAACTTGTGACTTGTGCCCCAGGAACAAGGCTGCTCCCTCCTGCTCCACGCTACCTTTGAGACACAAATACTCCTCCTCTCCTTGGGCCCAGCATGGTCCTTTGCCCCGTGTCCCCCTGGCATGTATTGCAGACTGAAGACTCCTTACCATACACTCCTGTTCCATAATAGCAAAGAAATATTTGGACTTATCAGGCTTTCTGTTGAATCAATTCTCAAGGGAATTACTTAAAATAAAATATTATTTCTTAAATGACTGTATACACTGCCAACATCCTTCCGTCTTTTGACACATCGCAATATATTTTAAGCACAGAGCAGAGGCCTCAGGGACTCAGGTTGCTGCCAGAACAACTCATCCTCTGGCACAAACCACCTCCCAGCGCCAGCACAACGCCCCAGAGCTGAAGTGTACCCCCCAAAAATGCGGGTACCACAGCCCCAACGCCAGGCAGGGAAAGCCCAACACGAAGAGGGTGCTCCACCACCAGAGACTCACCGCAGAAGGAGATGATGTGGCTGCTGTCCTCATGCACAAACTTCCTCGTCACCGCCTCCTCCATGATCTGCTTCACCTGTTGGGCAGAGGCTGAGTTAGAGAAAATGCAGAATTTGAGCCATTGACCAGTGAGGAGATGTGTGGTGGAACGCGCAGGAGGTGCCCTGCTCGCTTTGTGTCTGGAAGGAAACTTCCTCTGCTCCCTGACTTCTCCAGCGGCACAAGAGGTCTCAAGGAGCATCACCAGCTACTGCAAAAAGTCAGGTATAAAATAAAGGGTCGCTTTGTTGCTGAGAAATTTCTAAGGAGGAAAACTACGAGCAGAGCATTTACTGTAGGAATCATGCATCATTTAGATAAAAGATGTCTTAATAAGGGTAACCAAATCTCATATTTAATGCATTGGCAGTGTTGTTGTGTTCTTTCATTTTACGGGGATTTGACAAATTTCATGTGGCACAGCTGCCCCAAATGACTGTAATTATGCATCAGTGCCAAAGTCAGTGATCACCTGGCACCAAATGTGACCGGGGAATGCTTTCTGCATAGCAATGCCATCAGCCCTGACCCAGCCCCTGCTGCTCGTGCCACATCACTGGCACTCACTTCAGCCCAATTCACCAAAAGGAAGCTGTTGTGTAGGCTGCACATCAGGGGCAGAAAATAAATAGGAATCCACTCATATGAGGAGCGTAATTTTAGCAGACGCCAGATGGGAGGTCAGACGGGAGGTGAGCAGGCTGCAGAGCACCATCTCCAGCCATGGAGAAGCTCCAGGGACTGCCTGGCTGCTCCACAGAGGAGCCAAGGGCTACCAGAGCACGAAATCCAGGTACCTCCAGCACTGCTGGTCCCCCACCGGTACCCGTCACCGCCAGCACTGACACTGCCCAGCTCTCGCATCCCTTTTGTAGGATACAGACCCTGTTCGGGGGATATGGTCCCGCAATCAGGGTGGAGTGGAGCAGGGAACGTAGAGCAGCTCCGGGAGCTGCTGTGGCTCTCAAGCACCACCATCTCCATTTGTCCCCACGGATGCAGGAGCTGCACGCCAGAGATGCGGAGCTTGGTGCTCAGGGTGGTTTGAGCCTTGCTCAGGAAACGCTGGAGAAATCATCCTGCTG